CTCTACCCTATCTTGGATACGTTCGGAATCTCTTACCATCCAACTAATGCGTCTCTAGTTGAAATAGCTGAACTCGTCAGGGGACAACTATCTATTCATTCCCTTCGTGACACCTTCCAATTGGTTGAATATATACAGGATAGAAATACTTTTTTGGATATCGAATCCCTATTTACGAACGTTCCACTAAAAGAAACCATATGTTTTATATGCAAATATATTGAAGACAACAAGTTGAATATAGGGACACATCCACTACATATTTGAAGGAACTACTTTTGAGAACTACATTTAATGTACAGTTTACTCTCTATGAAACAATCTACAGAGAGACGGATGGTATTGCAATGGGTTCTCCCTTGGGCCCTCTCCTTGCAGACTGTTTTATGGCCAGTCTAGGAAATGGTCAGTTAAAGTAAACAATCCAATGTTTTCTAATGTACAAAAGTTATGTAGATGACACCTTTATTATTTTAATAGTGATTATAATCTGAATTATATATTAAATGCATTTAATGGTTGCTATCCAGCGATAGAATTCACATTCGAAATGGAGAACCAGTCTAGTATTCATTTCCTCGATGTGAACTTATCAAGATAGAATGCTATAGTGATAGATTTATCGAAAGCTATCACGGAATGATCAACTGAAAAATTTTTGCAGCTGCCTACCCATTAGTCGAAAACGAAACCTGGTCCGGTCGCTTGCCCCTCACATTTGGCGCATATGCAGCCCTGATACTGTGGGAGATTAGTTAAATCTTTTGAGAAAATCCTGATAGAAAAGGAGTTCCTCCTTTTTTATAGACAAGAATATATAGTCAAATCCTATGAAATGTGATTTATCATCCGTACCCAAGAAAATACTGTATTATGAGCTTGGATCTCAGCCTCCGATATCATGAAAGGAAGGATTTCATAGTCCTGGAAAATAACATTCCCCGCCGCACCTTTGAGAATAGCCTTCACCAGTCGACCATTACTGCTCAGAACCTGAAGAACAAGATCCCACTGTTGACCAACTCTGCTTGCGTTTATCAATTGACCTGATCTTGTGGAGCTAGGTATATCAGTTGTTCAACTCGAGTTTTGTTCAAGAGGGTGCAAGAACACTTTCCTGCATGGTTACGAAGAGGTGGAATGTGAATTCTATCGCTGGATAGCAACCATTAAATGCATTTAATATATAATTCAGATTATAATCACTATTAAAATAATAAAGGTGTCATCTACATAACTTTTGTACATTAGAAAACATTGGATTGTTTACTTTAACTGACCATTTCCTAGACTGGCCATAAAACAGTCTGCAAGGAGAGGGCCCAAGGGAGAACCCATTGCAATACCATCCGTCTCTCTGTAGATTGTTTCATAGAGAGTAAACTGTACATTAAATGTAGTTCTCAAAAGTAGTTCCTTCAAATATGTAGTGGATGTGTCCCTATATTCAACTTGTTGTCTTCAATATATTTGCATATAAAACATATGGTTTCTTTTAGTGGAACGTTCGTAAATAGGGATTCGATATCCAAAAAAGTATTTCTATCCTGTATATATTCAACCAATTGGAAGGTGTCACGAAGGGAATGAATAGATAGTTGTCCCCTGACGAGTTCAGCTATTTCAACTAGAGACGCATTAGTTGGATGGTAAGAGATTCCGAACGTATCCAAGATAGGGTAGAGTGGATGGCCAGTTCGTTCAACCCCTCCCAACTTTCATGGTCTCAATCCCTCTAGGTATGGTATGGTAATCCCTAATCATATTTTGGCTTTGCCAATTTTTCCGTTTTGCCTATTCAATTTGCATACTCTTCCTTTATTACGTCAATTGTTACTCTGCTCACTTTGAACTGTCCCCTGTATTATTTCTCTCGTCGTTCTAAATCAATTCTATTTTGCAACGTTAAATTCTGTTATCAAATTCCACACAATGTTACGTAACGTTTCTATTTTATTCGATTTGCCTACTAATCCTATGATTGCACACCCCTTCCGATATCTATGCATCCTATGAATTATTCTATATATGATTAAAAATGATTCTTGTGTCGCTTGAAACTTGACTATGATTATAATCAAACATTTTAATTGCATTTCATACTATAATTATTTTATGCATTCACACCTATGATTCAATTCCCTCACCGGATATCATTTCTTGAAAACGATCGTAGAGCTTGATAATAATTTTGCTGAATGTTTCTTTGTTGCATGTCCGTAGTCCGATGGCACAGCTCGCCGACCATGCGTATGGTCCGGGGTTCGATCCCCGAGAGACGCACTCTTTTACCTCGCTTAGCCAGTAATAAGATTGGATAAATAGGGAAGTTTGGGCCGGACATGAGGCTAGCAACCGCTACCCGAAAAAATAAATACCACTGCTAGTGAAACTTTAAGCCTTGAGTTTGAAGCCCTATGTTCCAATGAGAACGTAAAGGCATAAAAAGAATACCAATAGTAAACATACACCTTCGAAGCAGGTTGGAATGTAGCAGAGGAATTTCTGAGTGCGTCGAATACTTTTCGTATGCCAGAAGTTACAAAGGTTCAGTCAACTGGATACAAGCCACTGCCTAAGATATACTTGGCCGTCATGGCGATGTTTCTTGTCAATGTTACCATTCTACTTTGAGGAAACGTTGCTTTTTGATGCAGTGAGTTCCTTGCTCGCCTTATCTTAATCTTGATATCACTCCACTTAGCACAAACTTAACTTGATTTCTGATTTGCTACAACTATCTTAACTGTAAATCTGAAAACCACTAAGTTTGACAACTATAATAAACCTGAGAAATGTGCATGTCAAATGAGGAACGAAAATTAATGTATGTTACTGATAAACAAAAAACAGAATTCAGAACAGCTGATTTATGATTGTGAATAAGTGTTAATTGAATGAAATATCTTCTTATAAGCGAATTTTTATTACGTGTCAAAAGGTATGTGTCCTGCACAAAATACTGCTGGGAGTAGATATGAAAAGGTCGCAAGCTTTACACCATAAGTTTATTTCCTCGACAGGTAACCTTAGGTGGAGTAACGTCTTAGATAACAATGACATCAGTCATGGAAGGTAAGTCAACCTGTGAGATTGTGAAGTTTGATGGGTTAAGGTAAGTTGGATAAAAATTATGATTAATCGCCAGCTTCCTCGACGATTAGGACAAAAAATAACCTTGATTCATTGTTGCTTAGTTCAGTCCGACTGAGGTAGATAGAATAACAAAAAACAAAGGTTGAAGACTATATGCGACGGCTCTAAAATGTTCACAGTAACCCACATGTATTCAGTAATTATCACCTTCAAAATTGTAAATATCATTGATTTTCGTAATTTTTTATTGCAGTTTCATTACGTTTGTGTTCTCTTCTTGTAAACTTTCGAAGTGTAGCAGCTTGAGCTCATGAACTTGTGTAAAGAACTGCACCGATTTGTCTAAAAGTTCGTTAACATTTTATCTTTATTTTATAAACCTAATGTTATATTCAGACACAATTGTTTGAATATTGCTATTTTCAAGAAATAACAGACATATTATGAAAAACTAACATAAATACAACGAATTTCATTCGACCTGATGAATCATTCATGCACCACATATACCGAATGTACAAGTGAATTGTTTTCCTTACAAAATTTCAAGCTGTTAGTATGCACAACGTGTATATGACATTTTCTGAAAATTCGACAATGGTCAGCCTTATCTTGGGTTTGTTTATATATAACTCAACATTTTCGTCCTTTGCATGAAGACTCTTTTACGTTTACCCTCATATACACAATTACAACGAAAATGTCAAGATGAGTGACTAACATGATTATATGGTACAATTAATCCACTCTGACATATATAACAAGTTTAATGAAGAAAGTTTACTGATAAAATACCTTGAACTACAACAAAGTTATTGTGTGATGTAACGTCTTGGATTTCAGTGGTGTGTAGTTGCTACAAGTTCACAATGAAGACTTCTCCAACAATCAAACACGTGAAGAGAACGCTTTTTCTCAAGTTGTAATCAGTAGCCATTAGTTATGTAGGACACACCTACCAAGTCATGACAGCTCATCCGATTAGTCTATACTCACTATGAAGTATAATTTCTGAGTTTCTTCACGTATGGAATCAAAAGAGCAGGCGACTAGAATTTCAAAAATAAAACGGAACCAGTGCTTGTTATATTTCAATGACTTTATGTGAGCAGTCATCATGGCTGGAAATCTATTTTTTCTGCGTAGTTTAACGAAACTTCTGCCTCAGTGATTAAAGACAGAATCTTGAACCGTGCATAAGAACTGCTACGAGGCTGGTTCAAATAATGGAACTGTATTATATTGCAAAATAAAGTCTACTAGATATTAGTAATAACTAGGATGTTCACAAGAAAAAAAGAGCTAATGAATAGCTCTACAACTGTTTAAAGTTTTCAACACTTTCTCGAATCTCACGCAATACACAAAACGATCTTATCGACTGTTCAGTATTACTTGTTAGCATTAAAACATCGCATCAGTTAATTATCGATTTATTTCACTTCCCGCAAACGAAATATTAATCTGTTTGTCTAACCATCAGTTAATGGATGTACATCATCATTCACTGTAGGATATCATTGGTCAACTGCTGATTGGTGTGCATAATGTGGTGATATATATACTAACTGTTCCCGACCCAATGGTGTAAAAACACCTTAAGTCACATAACTTTCAGGTCTCCCTAACCTTTTCACACAAATCCCTTATTTTGCAAAACGTCTTTAGCTATCTTATAATTTGTCATATGTTTACATATCTCCCTGTAATATAATATCACGCACACTGGCAAGTAGCTAAAGTATTCAACCAGGGAGTTTTACTCTGAAGTTAAGTGCTCACTATATCTTACTTCTCTAACGTATATCGCTCATTTCGGCTTCATTGTAGTCCTATCCCTTATTAGTAAGATTGAAAACCCCATCTGCAGAAGTTTTTATTTGTACGGTACAAAAATGCGGCTATTAGTCCGGAGATCTAGTAGATTGTGTACACTGTACGGTTGCAACATTTTGTTGAATATTAGGCATCCATGTTGCAAAAGTCAAATAGCCTGTATGACCAGCCGTTTTGGGCTAAAATATGCAAAAAAAGAAATGTATTATTATTACTACTACTAAAAATCAATGAATTGCTATTGAATACGGAAGTTACAAAAAATCACAATGTGGAGTTATCATCACCTTGCAATTGTGTTTATAGTACTGTATCTAAATTGATTCAAAGGAAATCTGAAAGATTTTGAAACAGCACGTGAGGACTAACGTGCAAGACAGTTACCCTTCTTTACTTTAACACATGAGTGCGGCTGAAATATGATAGTATTCTATGAAATTTGAATGATTAAATTCTCACTGCCATAACAGGTGACTTTCATAATTTCTTCAAGTTTTAAACAGCATCAAAAACAGTCGTATTATTATTTTTGGACAAACAATAGCTATTGCAGTTAGGAGCCTGTTATACTATAGTATGCACTGGGTGAAAAGACACACCTTGACTAAATGAATACTACTGAAGAAATAGCGCAAATTAACTCGGTTCACATATTCATACAAATTTATCTATTAGACTAAAAGTTTCACGCACCATGCGAGAATGGGAAATGATCTGGATGTTTTGCTCATTTGAAGAAATTTTAGGTATTTAAGCGTAATCAATTCTTACTAACATCAAAAAAACAGTGAGTACAAATCAGTAATATGGCCGCTAAATACCGTAGCATATTATTAATAAGACAAGTGCACTTTTTGTAGAGTAAATTGTTAGACGCTGATTATACATCGATTTAAGCAATATATATATATATATATATATATATATATATATATATATATATATATATATATATATATAGTGGGATGTAGACTTTAACCAACACCTCTCTTCGCTTGATACTGAAGATGAGATCACCATAAAGGATAAGTAACAAGGAACTCTGGCAGCGAAGCAGCTTAGAACTTACTGTCCATCAAATATGCAAAAGGAAATAGAGGTGAATTGGCCACACGCTGTGAAAACCGTTGAATGAAATTGTGCAGCCGGTTTTTGAGTGGAACCCGAATGGAAGGTGAAGGGCTGGACGTCTGTGGATGGCATGAAGGAGATCACATATGAAGAGGAATCGAAAGCTTCTGGGCAGTCGTGCAGCCAGTCAAAAACTGATAATACAGGGGTTAAACGGAGATATGCTGTTGAAGTCCTATTTTCTAGTGGGGAGGCAAGGAATGAGTAACAATAACAATACTTTACATTTAAATGAAAAAATTCGTTACAAATTTGTACTCACTTGCAAAATAGGCTCCCACGTAAACTGATTCTTCGTATTAGTTGTAATTTGCACGTTTTCGTGTAGTTTATTAGAAGCATTTGTTTGACTACTCGATCCATTTCGATCTGCGTCTGAATGACTGCGTTTACAGTTATCATTTATCCCCTCGAAGATTTTCGGAGGCGGAAGGAGATGTACAGCGCCCTTGGAATACGAGTTCACGTATTCCTTGAAACCATCCTTAAGGCAAACAGAGGCGCCTAACTGACCTATTAATTCACAACCAATCAATGTTAGGTTTCGACTGAATGAAAATTTAGAGAAAAAGTGTATGCAACAAGCTTTTATAGACAAATGTGAAATAATTTGAAAAGTACGGTAGTGTTTTTATGATTAACCAACTGAATTAAATTACATACATTTATTCCCCTTAATGAATTTGAACAATGCAAGAACTACAGTTTTAGCAGAATAAAATGGTACCATCTTTTATTTCGTTGCCTTCTCGTCAAGCGTTTGTTTGCAGGGATTTAATTTGATTGGTTACAGGAATTCATCATGAACTGACATCGGTTAGAGAACCATTGAAAACCTACCGGACAATTGTTTCGTTCTAGGTTGGGACTCTTCATCAGTACGTACCCATGAAGTTTGAACCCAGGACCTTCCGGTTACAAGGCGAGCTCGTAGACCATTAAGCCACTGGGACTCACAGTAGTCCATGAATTCCAACATCTGCCAATTGGTGATATGACGTGACCACTAGCGAATGCCATCGGCGAGTGTTAGTCCTCATACCCGAGTTATTTTAATTTTTCAGTTTCGTGATTTGTTGCAGATGTACTAAATGCTCTTCCCATTTTTGTCACTATGATTTTTCTTGTCTTTTTACTAACTAATACATTTAATCTACTGAATCAATTTCCATGAATCATAAGAAGCTATACTTAAGCAAAAGTTACTTTTTGGTTGTCAATGTCTTTGTGAGAGACGATACATTTTTTATCCCATACATATTCTTTCTTCTCTATAAGGGACTGGAAGGAATTGATCAGGAAATAACTTGCTACATACAACAGGGTTTACTACGCCAATCCTGTTTCACCAAGTTTTTCGAATCAGCTTAGAAAACACTAGACAAGTAGTGGCGATGCCGCTTACTACAAGTAGACTTTAAGGTACGTTTACGGCACAAAACCAGTTTGATTGTCTCATAATTGTTAGATTTACCATAAAAGTTAAATGAATATGAAACTTCTATCCGAAAACACTTGAGAGTGAGTTTTCCCCTAATAAAATACACTTTCTATTAACCTATTGAGTTTTAAAAAATTTTGACAATAGTTTTACTTCTGTTAATAGATAATATATACTTTGGAGTGTATAGAGAGATGCTGTGACTGAAGTAGCTGACTTTTACTCGGTGGGTCACCGCCTTCAACTCCCATCCTCCTACCACGGTTTCAGCAGGCAGGTATTGTTATCAGCCTTTATACAACAGGTGTGGTTGGTTGTGGAGTTAATGTGCACATATATGTACAGTGACACACACACAAACCTGAATAGACACATAGCGTCCTTGTTTGTCATTTTTCGTTTTTAATTATACCGGATCTAATCTTCCTGTAGCATGGATGGGTTCAATGAACAGATACTACAATACTGAGATCAGTGAGATATCTTGGCATTCACTTGCCATATAAAAAACATACCAATAATCTAACCTGGCAAAATCAACAAAAGGAAACCACAGGTATAAACAGTAGAAATTTGTTACACAAGAAGTGTATAGCGGGTTGCAATCGCACAATGCTTCAGGTTTTGAAATGGTAGATTCTTAGTCTACATCTCAGGTAAAGCATCAATTACTAAGATGCTAGTACACACAACTGAACAATCTTGAATGGGACGAAAAATGTATTGTGAATTCAACTTTTACACTATACTAAAATCTCTAAAGGGCGTGAATCATCTCTATTATCCAAGTGAATTAGTACAGTTGAATCATTTCTTGGCTGTGTGCACCTTTGAATAAATCTGATTATTACCAAGTCTTCGGAAAATGAACTGGTCTACATTTTATCAAATTTTTTTTATCTAACAATAAAAAACACTATCTTATTCCTTTCGATCGTTTTAAAACCTATTTTACAAAATCACCACACTTTGACGGTAAGCAGGCAGAACAGATTTATGTTTATTCACTAGTTCTCATTCATGCAATTTAGTTAAGCTATGTTATTCAGAGCCCTAATGAAACACGGTATTCAGAGACTTTATGCCTGTTCTAGCCAATTCAACTTACAGCCGTGGAACTTGGTAACTGAGTAATACAAAACATGTGTAGCTTACTTCTTCGTACACATTCAATATTATCAATGTATTGAATTCATATTTTTATGGAATTCACTGAGGAATACTTCCATTAGAATTTATGCGGCACATATTATAAAGGATATTAATTTAAAAAGATTCCTATTTTGATTTTTTTAAATACATAAAACTAATTACCCATATTTGGAATATTGAGTGTTGTTCGTGAAACATCGTATTCTCTTTCTAAGCACTCCATAGTGGTTAAGTGTACAAAACCTGTTTCAAGCAAAGCTGCACAAGAACGCTGGACCTGTTCAATGCAAGGCGAGAACAAACATACACGACCCCCTGAAATAATATGAAAAATGTGCAAGAAATATATGAGTTATTATCTTTCAATACTGCGAATGTGCACTTTAAGTGTGTTCTTATCCTTCACTTAATTTCTAAGCGCTGACCTGTTATCAAATGGCAAGTGAAAATTATCACATTATCCAATGCAGAGATACTGCTCGTTGGCTCAAGCACTAAATCTCCGCCTTGTGGATCCCGAGTTCAAATCTTACTGCGATCTAGGCAATTGGATATTACTATCAACTTATACACGATATAAATGGTTCACAGTCTGATACTAGGTATATGTGTTCAATCAAACCTAGATCAGCCCACTTAATCAAGTAGAACAGGCTAATAAACGCAATATACTTCACGAAAGCACATCCATTCATGTTGTTACACTTCGAATTAGGACATAAAAATGTGAAACTAGAAACAGAAAGGCAGTGAAGTCAGGAAGTGTCAGGAAGAAAAGAGAGAATAAATGAAGCTGATTGAAAATTTTCAAGTATTGGTTTTGTAGGGATTTTGTTTTATTGTATGGAGGATTTTACCATGAGCTGACATCAGTTAGAGAAAATTCTCAAATGATAAAAAGGGGTTTGCACGATTTCAAACCATGTTAAGAATCTCACGAAATTCACCCTTAACATTACTGATTTTTACTTTACTTTTATTTTACATTCATTGGTTCTCTCTCAAATATTTCGAAATATATGAGTAGTCAGGTGAATTTATGAATACAGATTAGACAGCATAACTTTACATGAAGTAACAGCAACTGAATTCATTCACATCGGATCTAACTTTATCCAGTATGCAGTCACCATTCATCTATGAAAGTGGTGAATTTGATTTCATCCACATAATGATGTATTCGTATTTCTGTATCTTCTCCTATAATATATAGCATAAGAGACAGCAGTAGACAATACATTTGAAACATAATACTGAATTCAAAACAAAAATAACATCATTTATCATTTTATACCATAAGAAAAACAGAACACTTGAGTTGTGATAAACAATTTACGACTCATGACTAAAGTAGTATTTACCTGATTCAGGACGAAATGTAGATGTGAGGTGAGGAATAACTAACCAGGGTCTAGGCAAGTCCAGAATAACGGCATCTACACCATTCGGATTCATTTCACTGCCAAAATTCGGAAAATATTCACTACAGACATCACGGAAGGAGACTTTTACGACATCCCCCAAGGAATGCGACTATACGATAAAATAAAATTTTGGTAAACAGTAGCCTTCAAAACATAATATTTAGGCTTTTAGATAAATACAACAGTGTAAAGTCATCTGAATAACAGTCGCACTGTTTAAGTGGATTTTCACCAGGAATCGTTTATGTGATCCTATATAAGTAGTTTCTGTTAATGTAAGGGTGAACTAGAAGAAAGAATATTCATCGTTCTTTCCGTCGAAGTTCTTATCTGTTACGGAGAAAATCTAACCAATTCAATATTTCATCATTAGTTAAGTAACCTCAATTCACACCAAGCAAGAAAAGTGACATGATCTTAACTCGAGACCTAAAAGAGTAGATACTGATATCAATCCGTGATCGACTCGTAAAAACAAATCTAATCCTTACAAACCAACTATTGAAAATAGATAGGGAATCTAAATTAGCTCCAAGCAACTGTTCGTTCATAAACTCTGATTGTCATTAATCGCCTTCTAATCATTTGAGTCACTCCGAGAAATAGGAGAAACAGTAGTATCCCTTAACAAAACATTTACATAGACTCAAAGGTCAAGAATGCTAATTAGGGCTATTTTTACGATTCTTGAAAGCCACTTCATGTACAGGACACACACAATCCACTGTAGTTGTAGATGCTACTGCTGTGTGCTGAGTTGTACATAACATGTTCGAAAATATCATATTGGATATCAAAGCGCTACAAATTTAGCAACATTTAATGTATAGAATTAAATCTTTGTGAATGTAGGGTGTGGAATTGGGTCAAATTACAAAAGGCCTAATTTATAATCACCTTTCTGTAGAACAAAACAAAATTGATAAGTTATATTTGTAGCGAAACCTTAGTGGATTTGTGAGAAGTGAATGAACACAGTGAATCGAAAAAGTGTGCTCAGTAGAATCATTAAACTGAACCAAAATATCGCAATCTGAATTGATTATTATTATTATTCCCTTGCGTCCCGATTGGAACATAGGGCTTCAACAACACATCTCCACTTTGTTCTGTCTTCTGCTGTCCTCTTCAGCTGGGTCCACGATTGACCAAATTCCCTCATGTCTCCCTCACACGATTTCCACCATGTCACCCTCACACTGACGAACCACTCGTCGCTTCCCGTTTGGATTCCAGTCGAGGGCCTGATGTGCAATGTCATTCGGTGGCCTCCTCAATGTATCCCCGATCCATCTTCACTTTCCGCCACGTATTTGTTGAGCAATCGGCTCTTGGTTTTTTGTTCCCATAGCTTCTCGTTTCTTATTCTTCCTGGCCATTGGATCTTCAGTATGGAGCCAGCGAAGGCAGCTGTTGATGAAAATCTGCAACCTGATGGAAATCCTTTTCGTGACACGCCAAGTTTCTGACCCGTATAGAACTGATCGGCTTCACATTGGTTTCGAAAGTCCGAATCTTGTTGTTCATGCTGAGTTCTGAAGATTTCCAAACTGGTTTTAGGTTGATGAAGGCGTATCTTGCCTTTCCGATTCCAATTTTAACATCTTCGTCCGTTTCTCTTGTAGTTGAGACGATGCTTCCTAGATAAGAAAAGGAGTTAACCTCTGTTAAATCTCTCCCTTTGATGGTGATTAGTGCTGGTTGTTGTTGTTGATTGGTTATTTTTACCACATCCGTCTTCTCTGTGTTCACTTGGAGTTATTTCCTCGCTGCCAGCCTTTTCAGCCAGTTTGTTGGTTTTCGCTTGCAAGTCTTCGAATTTGTGTGACATTAGACATATACCATCTGCGAAATCCAGGTTTTCTAAAGTCTTCTCATCGGTCGCCTAGCGTATTCCTGACTCCTCGCTCCCATCAGTCTGACGCATAATCCAGTCCCCCCCACTATTAAGAATATCTTCGGTGATGATAGGCGGGCAGCCTTGTCTTACTCCTGTATGCACTTCGAACGTCTCGCTGAGTTTTCCGTTGTGAATCACTTGACACATGGCAGTGTCATATGAGCTGTTGTATGAGGTTGACAAAAACTTGAGGTACGCCGTAGTGTTGGATTAGTTTCTAAATTACTTCTCGGTCAACGCTATCGAAAACCTGTTGAGGTAGAGGTTTGACAGCCATTCTATGCTTTGTTCGGTGACGTTAGAAGATTTGCAATTTGATCAGCTTATGATTCACCTTTCTTGAATCCAGCTTGTTCCAGTGGGCGCAGTTCTGTATCCAGTGCATCCTTAATTCTCTCCAGGATGATCCGACTTGGTATTTTACTTGGAGTGAGTGAACAAAAGCATTATTCCGCGCCAGTTCTTGCACAGGTTTAAGTCGCGCTTCTTTGACAGTTTGATGAGATATCCCTTCTTCTAATCAGTAGGCACCTTTCCTTCTTTCCACACGTTTTGCAGTAATGGAGTGAGAACATCCGCCGTAATCTCTGGGGCCGTCTTCAGTGCTTCTGGAGGAATGCCGTCTGGTCCTGCTGTGTTCACATTTAGGATTTCTCCTTTAGTTGGAGGAGTGGTGTCCACTGGCATTTCCGTGTGTGCTGTTGGTGTTATTTCTGGGCGAGCTGCCGGTGGTGGTCGATTTAAGAGTCCTTTAAAGTGAACAGCCCACTGTTTAATTTGTTTCTCCTCCTTGGTGATCACGTTCCTTTGAACATCTTTTATTGATCTCACCATCTAGGTTGATCTCTTCCCGGATACAGACTTGGCTGTCTGATATAGTGTCCTGAGGTCTCTTTTACCTTCGGCCAGCCTGTTCTGCCTCAGTTGTCGGCCAATGTGCCGTAGAATTGTCGTTTGTCTTTTCTAGCACTTTTCTTCACTTCTTTATTCAGTGCAGTGTACATTGAACTCAGCTTCTCCTTCTGTTGTCCATCTTTGCATTGTGTCATTTCTTTCACCATCCTGCCCTCCTCGATTAGCTTCCAGGTATCCGTCGACAGCCATTCCTTGTCTTGTTTCTTCCTTCTTCCTAGAACAGTTGTAAACGTTTCCTTAAATATCATTTTCAAAGAGTTCCAATGTTCTTCCACAAAAGTTTCCTCAGTGATGCCACGTAGTGTGTCCGACTTTGCTCTGATATTTGTAGCGAAGGCATCCCTTGTAGTTTTGTCCATCAGTTTCTGAATGTTGAATTTGAATTGGGGTCTGTCTCCATTTGTTTCCATGGATTTCAGCTTTACCTTGAAGGTTCCTAGAACTAGATGATGGTCTGAGCCCACATCTGCCCCTCTTCTCGACTTTGTGTTCAGAAGGCTCGCTGCGTCTCCATCCATATTACCCGTAAGGATTCTGATGTAGCTATTTGGGATGTTGTCGATTACTATCACTTATTTCCAATGTACACATGACCGCATATTTTATGAAGCTATACTCCATAAATAGGTAGGTGACAGTTTGGTGCAAAAAGGAGTCACGGAGTTTGGGGTTGACTACGACAATAAACAATGAATTACCACTTATTTATGGATTTCATATATGTAAAAGTTTAAGTATTCCGGGACGCAGGAGGAAAATGACTGTGATAGTTAATTTGGGTTTTATTTATATATTTTTATGGTCTATTTCTGTAAATTGCTCGAAAACTATGTAACCTCTGTAATGTAATGATAATGTAATAATAGGCTGAGTAACCTGTTAATTTGTTGAAATAAGACTGTATAGCAATTCATATAAAACCAATGGGGTATCATTATAAATAAAAGAGTTCAATGAGATTATACTAAATTTTCTGTATTATTTGTATTGACCTAAAAGACATACAGACGACCAACATCCAATCAGTAGAATTTACCAACACATACATGATCTAGTTTTCTCTCTTTTATTGTAGCCACAACAGGCTAATATGAGACAGATAGCTTTCCACTATAGATTAATAACACACATTTTACACACAAAAACTCACATTAAATTCTTTATTTGCCAGGTCGACACGTTCAGTGTGAAAATCGAAAGTATAGACACGACCGTGAGGCAAAGTAGCTTGAGCTAGAAAATGCGTTAATGATCCACTTCCTGTGCCAGCTTCAAACACCCACTTGCCAGGACTTAAGTCTAATCCACCAATAATTAGACTTGCATCACACGGATATATTATTTGTGTTCGATGGAGTAGTGTTTCGGACCACAATACTGGACTTAGAGGTAGTATATGTACAAAGCCACGAGATGTTTGTATCTGGAAGCTCAAAAACAGATTCATTATGATACTTAAACAATAAAAATAAGATAATGACACCAAGAAATAATTTTGTAAAAGACAAATATTATTAAAATATGATCTTCATAGATGAAAATGAAAGCGATTAGTTATATATAGTCTTCCGTGGAAATGTGAACGTAAAAAAGAGCCTAAACAGAACTAGCTGTCTCATTTAAAGCTGGTCTAAAAAAGAAACTAGTCATGCCAATTAAAATCCAGGAAAGTGGAAGAAATCGAATGGTTCAAGCGCGCACAATAATTTGTAACCTGGGATCTTCTCTTGGAAAATTCATCAGAAAATATGACAACACAATCTAACAATTCTCCCTTGAGTGTAAGATTTAAAGACTTCACAGACTATTTCATCGTTCTGAATATCCACTCAATACCGAACTTTGTTTCACCTGAAGTCATAAAATGTATAGCATTCAAAATAAAAGTCATCTAGGATAGTTTCAAGTAATCAGCACTATCAGTACACATACTCCTATGGTGTAAGCGGTGCACCCTTTTAGATCAAATAAAATACTGCAAAGTAAAGAAATACGTTAGACTAACTGAGTGATCTCAGCATAAAAATTCGCACAGAAGTGCAGCGGTTCCAGTAGTCACACTCCTTGTAGTACACAAAGGAAGACAAAAGTAGGGAAGAAAGAAATTCAAAAAACTATAATAAGCAGAAATTGGAAAGAGAAAGAATGGTAACATAAAAAATCAATATGGTTTTATTGGACATGGCAGATGACAGAGTGAATGCATCTGCACCATTGGTAACGACTTTTCTCAGTATCACCTATCTCCAACCATTGGTTCTTGACATTCCTACAACCAGAGGAAGCCTCCACCTCCCTATGTTGCCCAAACTAACTGTTAAATATTTCATGGACTCACTATTTTCTGACCTAACCCTATATTAGTTAACATTGACCGTTGAAAAATGAGGTGACTAGTCCGCGTGACACATGTGCTAGACCCCTCAATCGCCATTATATCACCTAAAACGGGAGGCAGAAAGCAGACACGTTTTCATATTTTCCACTTTCTATGGACATGTCTTATAGCCATAAAGGAGGGTGGAGAGAACTGCTGAACAGTACACAAGTCTTTTGATCGACAGTCAGATATCACATCTGTGCAACAGATGATTTAGGTTGGCGAATGCCATTCAAGCCTTTTGTATTCGTGCTGAGATTTCGTCAGCCATCAGGCCGTTGGGACTGATGCAACACGCTCTACCACCTCAGTCCAAATCTTTACGCCAGGAGTCGTGTGGCACTACCTTACATTTTAGAAGAGCAAATTACATGCTAAACATTTGAAGATTGCTGCTCAATATGTTCAGAAGACTCTGCATTTTGTCAGCGTCTTCACTTAGGAGGATAATATCATCACCCGCTTACTTTTAGGTCAACACGAATATACCCTGGTAACAATTTAATCCCTTATTGGCTAAACCCAGTTCGCGACAGATAAGTTAAACAAAACTATATCGACTCGGATTGTGCTTCACATCCATTACACTAGGAGAGAACAACACTGAGTAAACACAAAGACCACACATGACACTTTCAAGAAGGTACATTATAACAAACATTTATATTTAAGAATACGACATAGAAATGAATCTTCCAGGAAATAAAATTATTATTTAGTTATAAATATAGCTTGAAATTTTTTCCAGAAAAAATAACAGTTAGCAGATTTTACTGATTTGCTTCAAATACTTAGCATCAAAAAGGTGTATAAAAGCGTCTTAATTTAATGGACATGTACGAACGGTGAATAGAAATCAATATAAAAATGTCATTACATTTTTCACACATAACTCGTAGTTATATGTATATATATATATATATATATATATGCACAAGCAAAGAAAACAGTAACCCAAGTGAGACGAATGGAGAAAGATACATTTCGGACTCCATTGTCAGTATTCATCAAACTAACAAGTGGATCAACTACAGATAGAAGTTGGCACTGGGTTACAGCAGATGCTGCGTATCTTTACAGTATCCGTATTTATGACCTACAAACAGGTTTTTTTCACTCCACTCTAATATCTAACGAAATTTGAGGCTAGTTGTCTAGTCACCACTTTTTAGATCCTGCCAAACGTGAGGTGATGCTACATGACTGCATTGATACCTAGGTTAAACAGTTAAATAACTGGATGCACTAACCACTCAGTTGATTTTAACTATAATGGAATGATTAGTGATCAAATCTTAGCACGCATACACATGGCTTGTTTGGTGTTCGTCAATTTGCATTATACTCAAACAAGTAAACTGGGCAACAGTTCACTCCGTCCGGCTTTAACACTGAAAAATGGTCACTGCAAGTAGAAGATATCTTTGCTGAATCGCCACAGTCGGATGGAGTAGGATGGAAAGTTAACGCCAGAGTGTTAGGTAGGCAAAATCAGTCGATCAATGAATTTACGCAGCATCATTGACTGAGATGGTTGGGATGAATTACGCATACCGAAATACTGCTTTCTTCGACAAGAACTGTCGACTGAAATAGGATTAGGCTGAAAGGCAGTTACAGACTGTTAAAGCAAAACATGATAATAATACATTAAGTTACTGAATACTGGTTAAACATAATGAGGAGGTGTAGGCTTCCTGATTGGAGTCAACGTGATGTTAAGATCCAGTGGTTGCATACTATTCTGTGATACGACTCAAAACTGTCCAAAATTACATTGATACATTTATTCCTTGTCATCTTACATATTTTGGAAAGCTTTACTAACCTTTAGTCAATTAGTATCCTTGTAATTTATTTATTTGTACATTGTAGTACCGTTACATTTTCATTTCCTACACATGCCCTAATTTGAATTATGGAGATTTCAACCTTTAAGCAAATTTTACCACTGATTCACTAATCCACCAGTATCTCATAATTTTAATAACAGTATGACGAGTTTCACTAAAGTAGTTTCTAAATTTGAGAAACATGAGATCTCAGTCCCTAGATAGACTTTAGAATTCACGAAATGTACCGACAATATCTTCATCCCGATAAGAACATCTGTGTTACTGTGGACAACATCAAGAGTCTTCTACAATTAATTCCCAACAACACTAGGATCTCTGTCAGCTACCTGACATTTATCACCAGACCGATGACCAGAGACATCTAAAAGTAGGTTTGTGAATCATTACTGTCGTGTATTGGAACAGTCACAGGCTCTTTGACATTTCAGAAATGTCACTGAAATCTTAAAACCTCACCGTTATTACCTAGACAGATACAGAAGGTAAAAATCTAGTCAACGGCAAGTCACCTTATAAGTAGATATTAGCAACATTGAGGAAGGAAAACCCCAGATTGTTGTCGCAATCTTGAGAAACCTTTGGTGTAGTGTGGCACTCTACTGATTCACTCGCATCCCAGAATACAAATGAACAACTTTTTGGTCAAAGTAATATGGTATGCAATTGATGAGTCATAACATTTATAATCAATTTTTCGGTGTCATCACATTGCAACTGAGCAGTCATTAAAAAGCTTGTCTGTCCTTCAAAACAACAAAATTCAAAGAAGTATGAATGCACATCATTCACCTAAAAATACATCATTAATCATTAGACAAAAGTTAAATAACAGTGAATAACTCGCCAGAGTTATAAGACTGTCTTTCTGCCTAATATATCAGTGTTTATCAGTAGGATAGCACAGTATTGGCAGTTGCTATAAAGTCAAGGACGTAGACTACATACCTTAGATCCAAACTTTCTCCCAACACAATCATCATGCTTCATGGCTCCGAAACGCGTCTGGGAAACATCACCTCTTTTAAGTATTACGGTCAAATTCTTGTATTTCCCTAAATCGATTATGACACAATCACCATAGTTTGCGACATCTCTCCGAAAAGCATCAGGAGACATCGCATATATGAATTATTTGATGAAAGACAAAATTCCACTAAGTTGATCAAATCACACCAAATAAACCTGGAAGTGGAAAGAAAAGACAAAAAATTAGTATACCCTAACTAATCGATTGAATAGAACTAAGTTATCCAGTGTGAGATGATATTAGTCTTAAAAGTGCCAGACTACTACACTTTTCAAAACTGATTGCTTAATTAAGACATTGATCTTATGGTTTTAGTACTAAAACGCTACCAATGAAACTGATAACTTGGAAAACCTTAATACCAATACAACCATCAAAAGTGGATCTGAAGGACAATTCAGACTGTGGCAACAGTGAAAACTGTTTACGATGTTGCACATTTCACCAACTACATCTGAATTTTATTCATTCTGACGAATACTATCTCAGTATTCAGAAAGCAGTTTAGATGATAGATTGTAAGTAAGGCATTGGTTTTTAGTATTGTAGCTCAAGTATACTTTCATCCACTACATAACTGCAGGCACAACTTCATGTTATACAGAGCCGTCACAATAAATGCAGAAATGCTTTTTGGAAATTTTGTTAGAGACAGGTAGCCCTAGAAATTCCATCACCATCCGCAAAGGTTCATACAAAAGCACAATGCACAGTGAGGGAATTCAACTACCTGTTACCACTGTTCTCAATCAGCAGTTAGATTTGATAGAGTTGTCTATCATTGTTATTTCTCTTTAAGTCTGCTATCGATAAAAATTTTCAAATAGCTTTAAAAGATGTGCGTGTTGGTGGTATAGATCTGTTACCTGACGTACGCAGACATCGTCTTACCATGCGATAAGAAACACACCATCCGGATCACACCCAACTAGTTGATCAGCATCAATAACGACATAATTTATACTGTCCAGACGCGAAGTTCTCTTGTAAAGTTAGCAGAAGTTTTTCATTGCACTCACCCTAGCAGATAGCACGTTACTGGTCGACAGATTCACGTACCTAGAAAGGCGTAAGTGCTGGTGCAGGTGTGAAGTATGAAATTTCTAATAATATATTTAAAGCCAAGGTAGTATACGCCAAAGTAGGCTACTCGTTGATACAGACAGTTAAAGATTAGGTTTGCAAAACTTATATACATGCAGTCCTGTCCCACCCCATTGGAAACTGACCTGTTTGAGCTAAGGATCTGCTACGAATCAGTATGTTTGATCAACAATGTGTCCGCAGAATTTGTTGCACTTAATGGAATCACTATGTAGACAATTCTAAAGTTTGACGGTGCGTGCCTTATTGTCAAAATAGTCTTTCAACTGATATTGCCTTGATGCGGTGGTATTTTTAACCGGGAAATTTGCTACGAATAAGATCAAAATGCTTCCCCAAAATTCAATTTCTGTTAGCTCCGCTTCAGGTTGGAACAAGTGAAAGTGATCAGTCCATGTCATGCCGACGTGAAATGAATACTTTTCGTGGATGGTCCCAGAATTTATGCAACTTTAGGGCTTGAGATAATACGACGCATGGACAGTAATAGCAACTGCTGGCAAACTTCCTGCGGTTTCCTCCTTTTTTCCTTTGTAAAACCAATAAGCAATGAGCACCTCTATGAATGTACTTGCTAAGTATGACTGTCTGCCTCATATTGTTAGTATCAACCGTTTTATTTCTCTTCTTCACGCATTGTGTGAAGATTTTTGTCTGGCTTGTCTTATAGCCCTAGTAATGTACCATCTGTTATACACAAAATAAAAAATTACTGGTCTAAAAACTTAACCTTTAATCAATGTTTGTATTTCGAGCTCATCCTGTTTTCTTCAGGTATACAGTTTGTAGTATCCAAATTCTTTAGATATTGCACAGATATTCAACATATGAGCTTGTCATACGTGTGGGTATGTAGTTTCCGTTGTTTATTACTAAGTGACAAAAACAATTAATTGCTTGAACATTATGTCATGCTGAACGAAACCAAATTGTCAGCTTAGGATGCTGCACAAAACTACAGCAAGTTACAACACTTCATAAAATTAAACGCAAGTGAAAAAAAGAGTGCAGTGCAACTGTAGTCAACGAGACAAAAAACAAGACTATGCTTGGTAGGGGTGGGGGAGTTCGGATGGTCACGGAACGAATGCATTTGAATTCGAGACATGTCACCCATAACCTGCAACCATATACTCCTAGAGTTTCAAGGATTTCACCCAGGCTGTTTACACCTCTTCACTTGACTCAAACCACCAGAGTTACACGTGCTTCACACTGCACCTAACACCAATACTATTCACCAAAATATTCCAACCGGCACGAGAAATTACGAGTATCAAAGGCCTAAAATACATTTATATCGTCCGCTATCAAAATCCATATCCCAGTTATAAAGATAGTGAGAGCTGCTGAGTAGTACGTGTCCTCAGATCGATAAACAGATATCACACCAGTGACAAAGATGAGAGTTCGGGAAATGCGATGCAAACCTTCAAAGTCCTTGCTAAGATTTCGTCAAAAGTCAGGTTAGAGGGGGGATGATGCAACTTCCTAAATAAGTGAAGTATTTGACACGCTCAGTCATTTTATTCTTTATCCTTAAACTGTAAGCTATGAGGACCAATCTTATGTGAGAGGGGCCAATCACATGTTATTCAATCTGCTTAAGGTGGTCAAATGACTTTTTGTCACAGTATTCACCCAGGACTAAATAATCTGCATACTTAAAGTCAATGGGACTGCCGCCTGGATTAAAGCTGAAGTCCGTCTCGTCCGCCTCCATCAGCACGTCAATAACGAGATTACATAAGAATCTTGTAAACTGACAATTCTAAGGAACACTGTATGACAACCACTTCTAATGACACAGCAAAATAATTTTACTTGATGAGACAACGATATGGCATTATTTATTTCCTGATAACAATTCGAAAACACTTTGCTCCTCATAGTCATATTAGAGTACTTGGGCTCGTTTATTCCACTTAATAAGCAATATTAATTTTAATGCATCCCGTATTGGTGATTGGCTATTATTATTGCACATCCTTGTGGTAGATCTGCTGCGAAAAAAATTCAGTGATCAAACTCCCCGTGCACCAAAAAATACTAATTTCTATTAAGTATAGAAAACTATGTAGGTCTACAAGTGGAGCACCGTCATACAACTATGTGAGTTCTGGTGAAGAAACATGTTCACAAATAGTTTATAATATATTGTGGCACGAAGCCCCTCCTAGAAATTGTGAATTTTTGGTGATCAATACTGTGGTATTAATACTACATTCATGGGTTTTTGTCTCTAACATCTTAAATCAGCTAACACTTAGCAACTAAAGCCGATGAACCTAGGAGGCGTAGAAAAAAGCTTTAGAATTTTATTTATGTAGAGACAAAATTCTCAAGGTGTAAATAAACTCACAATGAAACACAGCTGTATTGTAGTAATCCCCGAGGTAACAACGGGAACGCACAGCTTCAAATATTTGCCTTCGAGAGACTTAACATTCAATAAGTAGTATATCAGAACTGACGACTAAATTTATCCTGTCGATCCACAAAACATACAACACAATTTTATGTAAACTTATTGACAGAAATAATTTACCGGACTAAATTTCAACCAACGTGACGGAAAAGTTCGGAAATGGGGATAACGGGCATCCCTGACGGACACCAATAGTCTTCACCACTTCAGATGACAACTCTCCGTAAGCTCTCACCTGGCTGACTGCGTGTGTTCGAGTAGAGTTCCTTGATTAGTGCAATGCATTTTCTCGGCATTCCCTTTACAGCCAATCATCGCAAGAGAACCTCTCGGTCGACAGAATCGAATGTCACCTTCAGGTCAAGAAATATAACGATTGTTGGACGCCGGTAAGAATGTCAATGTTCCAGAATCTGTCGACGGGTGAAGATATGGTCAATACACCCTCTTCCTGGTCTAAAGCCTGCCTAATTCTCTCGTGTTCGTTCAGAGTCTACTCATACTCATAGTTATTGAGCCTAGAACCTTAGATATCATATTAGTCTAGCTAATCACCATCTGATTATCACAGGAAGACTTGTCTCCCTTCTTGTATATCGGGATAATCAATGACTTACTCCAACCCGATGGGACTTCCTCTGATTCCCAGATGCTGCCTAATACCTTAGTTAACGCGGACAGTAAACTGTCTGCACCGTACTTAAATACCTCTGCAATCATTCCATCGGATCTTGCTGCTTTGCCTCGTTTCAGACTAGTGACAGCCTTAGTAACCTCAGTTAGGGAAGGAGGACATGTGTCCATATCCCATTCATGGAGGTGTTGGATGCTCGGTAAGTTAAGTGTGACTGTAGGCCAACTAAACTGCTCCTCAAAGTGCTCTCTCAAGCGTTCCAGTCGTTTATTCTTCGGGCTAATTATGATGCCATTCTTCTTAGAGATTATTTCACTTAACATTCGCTTTTATCACCTGTTTCCCTGATAAGCCTAAATAGTTGTCTGTTGTTACCAATCGCCGATGCATTTTTCATCTCTTTCGCTTTTGTCGCCCACCACTGTTCACAGTCGTTGCGAAGACTTCCTGTTAGTTTTCGTTTGAGTAGCTTTCGCTCCTCATCATAATCGGAGCTCGTCGGAATCAGTCTTCCTGCGTCAATAAGTTCGGGTGAGGCGGAGGAGATCCAATAGCTCTTACTAACTTTTGGTTTTAGCTTATTAACAGCTTTTACAGCTGTGTCTACAGCTAACTGTATGTTGTTCCAGGCTACCTCAAGGGAAGTCCTGATGTCGACCTGAGACACTCGTTTCGCTATTTCTTCCTAAAATAGGGACTGAAAATCTCGGTCTAGTTGATGACTTGACTGTTTCGCTGCGGTTAATTTCTTATGTCCGTTTAGTGGTAAGCTAGAGCGAACTAGTGCGTGATCAGATGCTACACGAGTGTTCAGAATGAGCGACAGTTTTCTACTTACCCTCTCCAATGATACTCTTCGCCATGTGGCCTGACCGAGTCCAGCGTTGAGTTGATGATGGTGGTTGTCAGTCATGCAAGGTCTC